CTCTGCTTTTGCGGCATTTTTCTTCTTGTGTTGCCTACTGCCTCTGGCTAAATGTTACTTTGACCAAAAGAAATGACATGAAGGTCAGACCTAACACTGCCAAGGAGAACATATGCAGAGACAGGAAGATCTGGAAAATTGTCTTTGGACACATGATCCTAAAAATACAATCTTTGGATGTTTCAAAAGTTGATGTGTTTATGGTAACTAAAACTACAACAATCAAGGATTAAAACCTTATTACACCTGCCCTGGATGGAAGTAAACATATCCTGGATTAGGTAGGCCAAGCTGCAGGAGCCTTTTCAAAATCAACCATAAAATAAACAGTTTATTAGAAAATGTTAGAGGGAGATCTAAGACTGAAAAGAATTTAAGCTGCAGCAAAACTGGGCCCTGCCTCATGGCAATGACCTGTAAATGCACCAGGGATTAAATAAGAATTAAGAGATGGAAGGTTCTGGGCAGAGTCGAAACCCAGCTCTCTGAGTTAGTGTGGGGGTGAAAATGAAGGAAACTTCTAGAAAAACTGTTTCTGACAGTGAAGTGAGGGCAAATGTTTCTCAGACTGTGTCAAACACTATTACATTCCTAGAAGTAGAACCTTAATGAAGTTACTTCAGCTAAAAAGTGGACAATTTGTTTTAAGGAAGTAGATCAGACTGAAATATGACTTTTTTTTAAAAGAAATGAATAATCAAACATTTTTCCTATTTTTATCTTAACCAAGGAGGTAAACTAGTTTATGTTTTTTTTTTTTTTTTTGTTTGTCCGTCTGTGTACATAATTTGAAAAGTTCTGAACAGATTTATATGAAATTTTTACTTAAATCCTCTGTCCACGAAACAACCCATCAAATTTTGGTGATGATCCACATCATAATCCGGAGGCAGGATTTTTTTAAAGGATTCTTTAAGATTATTTGGCGGAACAAGCAGTTTCTCCCTAAACCAGAGAGTGGCAGCACTGATTATTGACAGCTTCAGCATCGAACTCTAAAAGTCCATAAGTGTTAAACTGAAGACAGAAACACAGGAAATGTGAGCCAAGTCTTGATCTGCTGATTAAAATAAGAAAGCAGAGGGAATCAAGAATGTGAGAGCAGAACAAACACCAGAGGCTGCAGACACATGCTGTGTCTTATTTATAAACTTATGAAAGGAGTTTAAGGAAATTGCTACCAAAGGTGCACCTTGTGAATCATGCCCAGGAACAATTCATTAAAATTTGATAATGATCCATATTGTGAGTGAGCTTTAGTCACAATATGGAGCAAAATTTGCTGCACTCTCAGTGGCCCATTTTTTGTAACATGATCTATCTTGTGAAGGGTACTCCTGAAGCAAGTTTTAATAAATATAGTAAGCTATGGAACTAATCTAAAAATGAATCTATAAAATTGCATCTTAATGTGCAGAAAAATACTATCTAATCTCTGCAGCATTCTGGTCTGAGGTGTCATTTTGCTTAGAGAAAACAGGTCAGCTTTGATGCAGCTAATCCTGCAGGTAGACCTTTAGAAGCCATCTACAGGAGACTGGCAGGTGCATAAGTATGAGAGACAGATCGATGGACAGGGACAGAGTCAGATTCAGTTTGTTCTGGCTGCTTTTCAGGGAGTTGACAGCAAGAGATGAAGATAAATACATGCCTTGAGAGACAGACAATCAATGGAAAGACATTCCCTAAGAGACATGGGGGAGTAACAGATCCTGAGCTCCACCTGGGCTGATAAAAGCAAAATTTCTGCATGCCCCAAGCCTCTGAAGATCTTTCCTCACCTGTCAAGCCCAGGTCTCACACACATTGTCCAATGTCCAATGTACACAGCTAATCTTGCATGTCACACATCATAATGCATGGTGTCACATTTCCAGCACATGCATGCAGACACACCCCATCCATGCTCAGCGCACTCACCATCCGCCGGTCGCCTAGCAACAGCGCACATCCACCGATTGTTTACAAAGCCTTGTAATATAGTTTGTCGGGGTGGGGAGGGTGAGACACAGACAGATGACACAATCTCCTCAGATGTAGCGATAAAGAGGAATAAAAGAGGCAAGGGGGGGGGGGGGTTCTGTCCATTTGTGGCGAAGTGGGCAGTAATGCACCGAGGCTATTGCTCCCATGTGAGTGACGAGCTTTGAAGGATGAAAGGAATGTTTTGTGATTTAATACTGGGTTGCTGTAGCACACACCTTTTTTTTCTTGATCTCTTGTGTTGAATAGGGATAGATGACACATATTTAGCTTTTCATTGATTAATCCCAGGACCAAAAAAGACAATAAACCCTCTGTTTCTTTTATTTGGAAGTGAAATTGCTGTGGAGGGGCTCTATTGTTCCAGCGTGTAGAAGTTTACATGCAATCATTCCTGGAGGCTAATTTATTTAGAGCTTTGCTTTGGGTTATTTAGTTTGTTCTTTTTCCAGGTGGACCTTTTTTTTACAATAGAAGAGTTAAGAGAGTAATGAAGAACAACTGAATGGCAAAATTTTAATTAACCTAATATCCAGATAAAGGTTCAAATATATATTGAGTGATATTTGGTTAGATGATTAGCATAATTAGTCGAGATTTTTGGTAACTTGATTTAACAGAGATGGCCTTTTCAGTATCCTACAGGCCAGGGGTTTCCAAAAGATTAAGGTTAACCTGCTTCATCTCATGTATATTTGGCATCGTTGTATTGAACACGCCGTGGTGTAATAGTTTTAGCCATCTGACCCATATCTGCTAGCCTGGGTGCCAGTCAGAACTTAGTCCCGCCCACAAGGTTTGAGTTCGGGGAAGTTCGGTCTGGCTCTGCTCCATAGTAGCGCGAGTATTAAAGCCCACTGTCAGGCGATCCAATCAAATTGTCAGGGCGGACTTTATACGATGATGGACAGATGATCAACAGTAACGTAATCAACCACGTGACCAAAGCGCGCATGGGCGACAACAACAATGGCTGCCGCTGGAGAGTTTGGGTGAGTAGATTCTGCTATTAGGTCTGTTCTAGAAGATATCGACAGCAAATTAATTTTAAAAGAGGAACAGAGAAACGCGAAACTGCACGCTTTGATTTTTGTGGACAACAACTATGCCTCGCTTAACATACGTCACGCACTCCGTTGCTCTTATTGGTTGTAGATCTATCCAATTGAGTGCAGAGGCATTTTTTTTCCTGGTTCGTTCGAAACACGCCCCATAATCACAGCTCTATTGAGCAGTATCAGACTCATATTCTGACTAGAATTGAGTCGGACTACGTCAGGCTACATATCTGCCACTCGGACGATAAGAAATGACAATAATAATCAGGAGGAAGTTTAGTTGAAACATCACCAACCATTAACATGGATTAAGCCTATGGCTTAAATTCTGATGTGATTATGTTAGAAAATGTTTTTCTACTGTCAGTATGATACAAAATTAAATAGAAAATGTTAAACTGTTACAATTTCTGTAAAATTATATATGATGCTGTGGGAGGTATTTGGAGAATTGCAGATTTATTGATCCAAAACGTGCCAACTGAGGCAAAAAATCCAAAGATAACAAAATACAGAACGTCAGGGGAAACACAAAAAGACCTAAAAAAATAAAGAGGAACTAGCAAAAAGTAACTGAAGAGGAGGCGTATATATATATATATATATATATATATCTATATATATATATATATATATATCTATATATATATATATCTATATATATATATATCTATCTATATATATATATATAGGAGACAGAAACAATGGACTAATGAGCAGACTAAGAACAGGTGTGGACAGAAGAATCTAGAAGAGAGCTGGGGAGAGGAGACTGACACAAGAGTGCAAAAGATGGTAAACAAGAAATACATCAAAACTGCAATACAACCAAAAAACAAAAACAAAAAACAATTAACCCAAAAAGGAAACCTAAACAGAACCAAAACCATGACAATTTCAGTTCCAAGTATGCTGATCACTACAATAAATACAGCATTTTTTGTTTAAGCAATGCTTTTTAACCATTAGAGCAAAATTACTTGTATGCATAGTCCCAGGGGCTACTTTGGCTGCATTCACATAAAATCAAACTGTATTTCTGTATGTAGTTTTTTATTAATCTCATTTACTTGGTATATTTCATCATCTATCTTAAAATGTTTTTAATCACATGTGGAATAATAAGAATATATGCAAAGCACTTTTAAATTCCTTTCAGAATATAGTACTCATTTGTATTCCATTACTGCCTTATCTGCAGTGCTTTAAATGGGCCAACATAAAGCGGTACACCGTACCATTGCTATCTATTTTTACCCATTAGCGTATCAGGACTTTCTTCGTATGTGCACTGCATACTGGGACTACTATACAAAAATTCCCCCCGACCCAACAGAGTTTGTCCTGACATCGTCAAATTTTACAACTTGTAGTCTATTTGTTATTTTAAAATATGCATTAAATGCAAACAATTGCCTTGATGCAAAAAACTTGGTACATTCATGTGGGTGGCTGATGAGTCAGGGAAACCAGAGGGAAAGTGATGTTCATCTGGCTCCAAAAGGATTCAAATTAACTTGGGTGGAGATGAATTATAACAGCAGCTTTCTGAACAGTCCTTCACTGAACAAGGAAACAGATTTCAGACTCTGCAAGCTAAAATTTATGCATCTAACGTGGAAGCTTGATGAAGAAAAGAGGCCTGTGACATATTTTGACACAAAAGGCGAGATTGAACAGCTGCTCATTTTATGTTTAAAAGAATTACATATCTTTGCACCTATAGTTGTCGAATAATTGAGTACAGATACTGTAAAATAGGTACTTGAATTTGTCAGAAAATGTCACAATAAATTCAAACTTGTGCTCCCGATTATTATTTTTCAAATTCATAGAAGTTGGTTTATTATATCACCAGTCAATCTTATAAAGTAACTTAAGTTAGAGTTCACTTATTCTATTTTTCAAACCAGTGCAAAATTTATGCAAATTTCCCCCATGACTTGTATTCATACTTACATCACTGTGTTGATTCCCGAGAGCTGCTGGAACATCTGAAGGCCGCATCCCACCACTAGAGCTCTCCGAGTCGGGGGGTAGGTCAGCATCCTCCAGATCACAGGGCCGTCTGGAGACATGAGTCAAAACACAGCAGAAATTAATTACCGCCTCAGCATGACCCCCTTGCCCCCTCAACAAAATAAACCAAAAACCTCTAATGCAGATTTTTTTTCAATAATACTTCCCCTCAGACAAAGAGAAAAACTGCTGCATTAGGGAAACTCGAGGAGTAGTGATCTCAGGGAAAAAAAGAACTGTCAGAAAAAATACTTTTTATTTACAATCAATGTGCATATAAAAAAAATGGATAGACTTTCTTTCAGTTCAAATTCTGTCTTTACCATTTTTCGACCCAACTTGTAAAAAATCCCTTAATGAGCATTTTTTCTGGTTGTCTTTCTGATATTGATGTATTGCAGAAAAAAAACAATGATACAGTTGGATTTTAGGCTTACACTTCTATTTTATCTGTTCTAACATCTTAAATTCAATTTAATGAAGCAACACCATAGCTGATAATTGGAAGTAATTTAAAATGAGCTGAGCCTCATAAATTGCACATAAGTGTGTGAGGTTGAAAAGGCTTTGCTTCATCAAATATGATGCATTTCAACTCAGCAAAGCTAAACGACACGGACACTTTATCTGATGGAGGTGTGACTTTTGACTCCAGTTTAATTCAGCTGTGGGAGTTTTAATTCACACCAAGCTCTTATTCCATCTTGGAGACTGTTAGCTGAGATTTCTCTCTCCCTCTGTCACCTCGCCTTCCTCGTTGTGCCTCACTAGAGACAAGGAAGGGTTTGCATCTCAGCTGCATCCAGGAAAACCTTTATTTACTATGTAATTGGCATTCAAAAATTTTTTTAATTTCAGTTAATATGTGCCCTTCCTCTCCTAGGGTTGTAGTTACTATTACATATTTGAGGATCAGGATCATTTTAATGATTGCAAGATGTTGCTTCAAAAGAAAAGAACATTTCCAATGCATGGTGCTGCCCCCATCATTAAGTAAATTAATATGCTGACTGCGGTACATTACTACTATGCACAAGAAAATTAACTCTTAGTTTTACTTTTAAAGATTTATTTGCTGCACATGGGATGAAACATATGAAGTTGTATTTGTTGCAAGATTTGTTATAGTGCAAAAAGCTGAACTTTCCCCTTGAGATATGTTTAAATTTTTTTCATTTTTGAAAATTGTAACAGGTGCTACAAAAGGGAAAGGAGCATGATGCTGCCACTACACAGAGAGAATGCAACCCTCAGAAAGTGAACATGGTTTTATGATGCACATATATTGTTTTTGGTAGTTGTTTTTACGTAAAAAATAGTCTTTATCAATGAAAAACAAATTAGCTATGTAGGAAAATAAAAAACTTCCTATCAAATAAAAACGTTGTATCTCCGTATACGAGTTATAAATTGTGTTGAATATTTAAAAATGATTCATTTCAAGTCTCTTTTGAGTTCCTCTCCTCAGGATCTAGTTTGTTTGGGTTATTTTGGGGATTTGATTCTAGTTGTGATTATTGCCATCAGGTGTTTCCTTATTTGATTATTTAGTTTTTTTTATACTTAAGCTAGTTTATGTATTCACCGTCTCTAGTTTGTTCTTTGTTAATGATAGATTGATTTTCCCTGTTTACTCTCCTTTTACCCCCTGCTGCCATTTCCTCTCACACCTGCTAACAGTGAGCCAATCTGCCCCAGCTTATTGTTTCAGCTTCACATTCCCAGTATTTAAACTTTTCTCTTGCTCTCCTCAATTTCTGTTGTCAAACCGGTATTTTCCCTGCTCCTGCATCTCTGTGGAATCCAGCCTTTGTTCGTCTTTGACTGCCTTTATTTCCTCTTATTCTGTCCATTTTTTTTTTTTTTCATTAAATAACTATACGATTACTTGTTGTCTCTGCCTCTCTGCATTTGGATCTGTATAAAACTTCAGCATGAGACTTCTAACACATGCAAACAAACATTTTCAATTATAGAGCTCCTCTATCATCAAATTTCTGATGCTGCAACTTTAATTTCAAAACAATCTGCTCAAACAAGAGGTCAAACAAGAACGTTTAAAGCTCTTGTTCTAAGCTGACAGATTCCTAATGATACTAAACAGGCGAGACCCAATGCCGTAAAAAGCTTTACTTTCTAAACAAATCGTTCTCCCCAATAAAACAAAACTGCACCTCTCAGAGTGGCCTTATATTATGAGCAATTTAAGGCACACCTGTGCACTAATCATGGTGTCTAATCAGAATCTTGATATGGTACACCTGTGAGGTGGGATGGATTATTTCACCAAAACAGAAGTGCTCACTATCACAGATTTAGACTGGGTTGTGAACAATATTTGATAGAAATGGTTATGTAGTGCATGTGGAAAAAGTTTTAGGTCTTTGAGTTCATTTCAATAAAAATATAAGCAATACAAAATGTGTTGAGTTTATATTTTTCTTCAGTGTAGAAAGAAACAATGCAGCACATGTGTAATACATTAACATTCCAGATGCAAAAGAACAATTTATATGCAATCTGAACAATTTTGTAGGCTCTACGAATTGGTAGCGTTGGTGTAGCATGATGCTACCACCACGGTGCTCAACAGGGGATATAAAAATTGATTAAAAATGGAAATTTTGATTAAACCAATATTTGAAATATGAGCTCGACTTCTTACATTGCTTCATTATTTCATGAAAAGGCACTGGAAAACACTTTAGTGGATTGGGGCAATGGATAAAACTATTGCAAATGAGCCCGGATGGTCTGCTTAAATCTAACCATACTTAAGTTGATGTATAAAGTTATTTTTGATTGAATTATAAGAATGAATTTAGCATAAAAGTGTTTATAGTGATAGATCTAAAAATAAATGTTTAAGGCTAATGCGGATACAGATTATTTTGACATCAGTAAAACCAAAACCCAATATTACTGGAGATTTATTCTTTCGCCCAGTCTTCCTCTATTGAAATTCTAAAGATGACAAAATGACAAAAAATGTTACATGTTGCAATTCAAACAACAGAAAAATGACATTTAACAACATATTATTAACAATGTACAACATATCGGCCAATACCAATACAAGAAATAGAAGAAAAAAGGCCGACATCAACCACAAATATCATCCTGCAGAAAACTCCGTGGAAAAAAATGGTTTTAAATACAAAATAAGGACCTTTCTTTTTAGGGCTTATTCACAAAAGTAATGAAAAAAATACTTCTGAAAACTGAAGTTACTAAACAGAAGCTCTCTTATTATTCTGACCATCAACCAATCAGACGTAGAAAAATGTGTCTTCGGTAGATCAGCATAGCAGAGCTGCTACCATTTCACCATGTCAGATACTGGATAATTTCAATGTGGCGAGAATAGAAATATTTGAATTTGGCCGAAAGAAATAGAGATTGGCAGGACACTGCGATCTCTAGCACAAGCAAACAGGCTACTTCTCTTGGTGGAGATCTCTTAACAGGAAAAGAAAAGAGAACCAGACAGGCACTGAGCTGTGGGTAAGAGCAGTGAAACAGCTCAACCAAACACATACAGCAAAGGAAGAAACATAGGTAAAGTCTAGTCAGAAAGCAAAAATGTGTGCAGGCAGAAATGCAAAAAATGAACATAAGACATGAGACACATGCGGATTATTGGGGAGCAGCTGCGAGTGGGAGGACTCTGGACAAGAAAACATGTCCTTTAACTATTTGACGAGCAGATCTTTGTAAAGGGTGCCCCTGCTGACACACAGTGCAGTCCTACTTTTGTCGGCTGCATGTTGCACAATCTTTCAGGACATTATTTCAGCTCCGTGTCACAAGGGCACTTTTATATGTTGAGACATTTGAAATTAAGGGTGTTTAAATTTTGTGCTATAAGGTACCCCAGTGTGATTCGGTGCAACTCCATGCCAAACCTTGGTTTACAATTTCTGTGTATCTTTGTACATACCAGCTTTATTAGCATGTAAATATATGCACTGTGAATTAAAGATTATTAAAAGAAAATCTGTTATAAAATAAATAAAGTAGGCAACATTAACCCATTTAAAAAATTAGTAATAATGCAACGGTCACACTTCTTCAATGCCCAAATTTTAGTACATATTTGTGCCATGGAACAGAGAAAATACACAATAAATCAAAGGCAAACACCTAATACTTAGTGGATGATTTTCTCATTTTTCTTTAATATTAAACTCTCCACTGACAATGAAGAGGAAACAATGTGTTTAAAAGCCAAGCAATTTCCATGGCAGTAACCAGGTAGAGTTTGATTGGTTGATCCCTAAAGACCAGACCAGAGAGCTTTTATCTGATTAGCTGACAGGAAATCAGATTTATGGACAAAACTGAACTATCATGACAGTTAAAACCCACATGAGACAGAGAAACTCCTCTGACTGCAGCCTTAGGTTCAGAAATCATAAAACATTAGGCGTCATCACTTGTTTCTTGAATTGTTCCCTTTCAAGCTCTAAGAGCCACGACCAAAAATTTACAGCAGCATCCAAAGTCTGTATGTGTTTATCAGATACAGACACAATCACAGCTTCATTTCCTCAGATGAGCGCCACCCAGCAGTAATTTAATCAGACGAAATATTGAAAAAAAGGGATGAAAAACAAACCAGCATGCAACCAGTCAGGCACAAGCACGGTGATTGGGTCCCATTGTGCTGCAGTAATTGCATGTACATTTTCCACACTGAAACCTTCCAGTACCATCTGTGCCATTTGTGGCGATCAATGCAGCAATTACTAGCATTTTTTCACCGCCATGTCAAATTCGCTCATCACAGAAGGAACCAAAACCCGGTAATTAACACAACGGTAAAATCCCACTTTTCATATAGTGTAGGTCATATTTACACTACATATAACGTTTGCACGCTCATGTTAGCAAGGTTATGATTTAAGAAACATTAAACTTCAGTGTGACTTACAGGTTTGCTGAAATTGTATTCATTGAAAACCACAAAATAAAACAATAATAACAACCTCATTGGATATGACAGCACACCATTGACTTATTGTTTTACATTCGTAAATAATATGATACCCTGAAACTGAGTTCTTAGCATCCTTTGAGCATTCTTTCATGTTTTTTCCTGTGAAAAGGGTCATTCAAAGCAGAGACAAACCAGACTGCCGTGTGGAATGTCATGGGGTGATCTTAATTTAGAGATATTAATTCTTGCATTTATATAAATAAAATCAGGTCTGGTAGAGGATCTAGAAAGAAAGTGAGTCAGGAACAAAATCAGCTATTATGGAAACAAATGCATTGAGATGGTTTTTCTAGAGATAAGCTGATGCATCTCTTTGTCATGATGCGTGGTTGGTTTGCTAGCCCAAGGATGCAGAACTCTCAGACTCAGAGGCAGGATAAAGTCCAATATTTATTTATGAACACTGGTAATCTGCCCTGGAAGGCAGAGAGGACAGAAAACAGGTTAAACTCAGGGATCAAAAACTAAACTGAAAACTCACGGGTTCGCTGGTTCAGACAGGCAGAGTAGCACAGGTAACGGACATGGCAAGGCGTGGCAAAACATGGCTAACATGGCAAGACATGCTACATGGCTTGGGAACACATGGCTAGGAAACACAAGGCTTGGGAACCCATGGCTTGAAAGCTATGGCTGAACATGGCTGTGGGTAACACATGCTACGATCCGGCCCAGAGTGAAGCTGTCACACAGCTTATATGGGGAGAGGTTAATGAGCAGAGCTGATGGGAAACAGCTGTGCGCTGAGAACCAGCTCCCAGGAGAAGGATCCACATCGCCCTCTGGTGGGCAACCTCTGGATCCCCACAGGAAAAGAAGCTCACAGGAAGGGATACAAACAGAAACAGAAGCTACAGAATGGGATCCACACCGCCCTCTGGAGGGCAAACCATGGATCCCAACACTCTTCCAGTGCTGGCAGCAGCTAATAGTGGAACCGAAAGTGGCTGCTAAAATATTATTCATACACTCTGATAAGGAAACAGATTTGCTTCTAAAAGTTTATTAACTGAGCTGCAGGGATGACACTGATAGGTATAGAGGATGATCTTTTATTTCCGGGTGGATCACCTAAATAAGTGGTACTCCTAATTGTCAATCATTCTGGTAATATCTTTACTTAAGGCCATCCTATGTGCTCGCCTTGCTGGCTATCTTTTTTTGTGGTGAGCTATGGTTTCAGACAGTCATTAAAGCTCACTGTTTTCACCAAGGTTCTTTGAAAATGGTCGAGGGCCATGAGAAAAAAAGTGTCTACAAAGTGTATGAGAAGAAAAGAAAGGCCTCAGAAGAGGCAGATATATCCAGGAAAGCTTTGCGCGGAGAGCTCTCCTCGCAAAGAATTATGGGATTTGCTGTCACAGCGGCCCTGCTGTCGCCATAGGCTGTCGCTACCAGACAACAACGACTAATAACAGAGATGGCGCAGGCACCGTGCAGTGGAGGAGGAATTACGTGACCAACGGGGAGCAAAAAGCAGTGATCATCTGTCTGAACGGGAAGTTAACAGAGTTCACTATAAAGTCCGCTATATAGTCCCTGCGCTCTATAGTGATTAAGGGATTTAGGGTTTACGGGGGACGTTCAAACACGATAAGCTTGTATCAGCTATGACAACAGCAATTTTTAAACAGAGCGTGCACAAGGAGAAATGGACTCATGCATGCTCTCGCATGGGCCTCCCCTATTAAACATGTGCATGGAACGGTAGTGTTGTGCATGTCTTTTTTTTTTTATTTAATTTTATTTATACAGTGTACTGTCTGGCAATGAGGCAATAAGAATAATTGTCTTGATGCCAAAAAGATCCCAACAGATTTTACTTTCACAAGTGGAGCAGTACGGCTATGGCCATAGTGTTCCGTTTGATTTGTGCATATAAATTGCTTTATTATAATTATGCAGGGAGTTTTACAGATTATATGGACACTGCAATGTAAGTAGAACAGGAAAGGAAAAACAGAAAAAAAAAACAGTGCATTTTTTTCAAAGTGGAGAGGGTGCTTCATAAGCAAACCTTGGCCTTCTTTATATTTGCCACTACTCTGCTTGTATGAACAGGAAGCCAAGCAGAGGGATCCTTCAGTGGGGAATATCATCCTTGAGCCATGTCTAGATGAAGCAAATAATATTGCCTTGGTCCTTATTAGTGGTTGTGTTCACCTAGCTGGTTTGACAAACTAATAACACTTCTCGTTATGATAAAGGGATGGTATGATTTAAACCTGCTCCTTCTCATGACATCTTCTTTTAAACCTCTCTTGGATATAGGACTGTATTTAAGATTTCATTCTATTTTGGTGTAAATCTGTTAATCAGTTGCCCCTGGTTGTAAGTAACGAATTTTTTCTATGGTTATGCATAATCTCAATATTTCTGAATCTGATCCAAATCAAAACATAACAGAAATTAACAGATTTACTCTGACAATTTGCCTCCTTAAGCAGGAAAATCCCTGATTATTAATTTTTTTAAAAACTGTTAAATATGTGGCTTGTGGACCTTTATAGTAAAATAGATAGAAATATTGACTTGTGAATTTTATTACTCTTTGTTTATATGATTAGTTGGAAAGCATGAGATAGTCTGGATGAAAATTAGATCATTTTCTTATTTCTTTCCTTCTTTAATAAATAATCTCCACCCATCTTGTTTTTCTTTAAAGCGCCAACCTCTTTCTTTCCCCTCTAACTATGTGACCAATTAATTCTTAGTCTTTTCAGATTATTACCCATTACTGCAACCTGGGTAACCAAGTCATGCAGCCAATAAATAAAAGCAGAAGGCAGAGGACTAAAAAAATAAGGAAAGGTTTTTTTCAGGAAAACTGGCAAGTGTTTATTCATAAACATGGGTTTTAGCAAAGATTTATAATTCTGTCTAAATCAGGCAAATTCTTTAATACATGGTGAAAAGTATCAGAGGAGACTGAATGTCCAATCAATAGGCCCAGAAACAGCTTCTTCCAGCTGACCCCATCATAGTATCCCGGGGAAGCGAGTACTTGGAAAGAGGCTTATGTAACAGAGTGGGCTGCAATCAAGGGCCGAGCCCATGCAGTTTCATACCTCAGCCAATCATCTCTATGATAATTATTCCTTCCACATACTTCCTGTCTGCATCGCTTTCACGCTTCTTCTGCACTCCCTCATCAGAGTAAGATCACAACATCAGGCCCTCTATGCCATCAAGATCAGAGCACGAGGTTAGATTAGTGAAAGGGAATAGAAATTAGATCTCTTACCATAACTGCTGTCTTAACAACTGCTGTAGAATGTATGTAACTAGAAAATTTCTAAAGAAATTTTGAGGGGGGCCACCTACTGCCCGTCTGGGAAACCGGGCCAATACGGCCCTGGCAAGTGATGGTGGGGCTCCCCAGACCAACTGCTTACGCCTTTGAGGGCTGCTGAGGGAAGAAAAGAGGGCGAGGTCATCATGGGCAAAGAGAGCTGTGTGCCACTTTGCCTGAAATCTGGGAAATAGACGTGCACAGAGTATGATGCGCAAGGGTAATATGGGTTGTCCATATTGAACTGCAGTTGGTGAAGCTCAGTTGGCGGGCTTTGCCCGCCTGCTAGGAGCCCTTGTAGCGATGAAAAAAATCACCAATGGCGGGCTTCGCCCGCCTTGTAAGAGCCATTGCAATGATGAAATCACCATTGGCGGGCTCCACCCGCCTGATAAGAGTCATTGTAGCGATGAAATCACCATTGGCATGCTTCGCCTGCCTTCTAAGAGCCATTGCAGTGATGAAATCTCCATTGGCGGGCTCCACCTGCCTGCTAAGAGCCATTGCAGTGATGTAATCACCATTGGCGGGCTCCACCCGCCTGCTAAGAGCCATTGCAGCCATGAAATCACCATTGGCGGGCTTCGCCCGCCTTCTAATAGCCATTGCAGTGATGTAATCACCATTGGCGGGCTCAGCCCGCCTGA